ACATATAAAAGATTATTTTTGCAAATGACTACATTATGCTTATATTTGAAACAATAATTCTGACCTTAAAGATAAACTTTTTTGAAATGCTATACATAAAATGTCATGTTAGCTTTTTCTGTGTGTAATTTGACTTCAATATTTTATTTTTTTTAAATGTGTAGATGATTATGAATGTTTACTTTGAGGATAATATGTTTTCTGAGATTTTATAATGCAGTAAGTCATTAAAATGTGAACTTTTAGTCAGTCTACTTAGCAAGAAGTAATTATTTTATATAATAAAATATTTTACTTTATAATATTTTATGCAGTATTGATTGCATATCAGTTTATTCAGTTTGAAAATTTTAGATCATACATATTCTGCACATAAATTAAGCATATTTGTATTCCTCTATAGAATATATTTGATAGGTAGTCCTATTGACAGAATAAACTTTTCTAACAAGATTAAAAAATTACATTTCCAATATGGTTCTCACACTTTCAATAATTATAATTCTTTCTAAAAAAGAATCCCTTTTTTTTAATTTTACAGCATGATTTTATTGACACGTCACCATGCATTACATGGAAAATTGAATTTTTGGAGGCTGGAGAATCTTAGGAAATTTCACAGTTTCAATTAGACAGGAGAACATCAAAGAGTTTAATGATACAATTTTTCATTCATTTGCTGCAGCCCTGGGAGGAGAGGGACCCCGGGCCAGGTCATCTCGAGCCCCAAAAGACCCAGGTGCGTACCTCTGGATGAAGCTCTCTGGGCTGGAACCCACCTCAGAGAAGAATCCCATTTCTAAAAATAGCCATCCCATTCTACTGTATTGCCATGCAGACCAATATTAAAATTGTTCTTCAGAAATTTGTTTTTCCATATTACCATCAATTTTTTATAATAGTGTGAAAATATTTTACCATATTTTGTCCTTGAAGGAAAATCATATGATGAAAAAATGTTACACTGTACTTTCAACAGTGAAACATTGTCTCAGTTACCATGTCTCTACATTATATTAAAGAATTTCATGGATTAAATAGTGAAGAAAATTTCAGTATAGAGAAGCTTTAATTTTGTTTTAAGTGTAAGCATATAGATATAAAAATTACATATAATACTTATTTCATTAATAGATTAAAATATATTTCAATTTAATAGAAAGATTATTTTTTTAAAGATTTTATTTATTCATTTGACAGGAGAGAGAGAGAGAGAGAGACACAGTGAGAGAGGGAACACAAGCAGGGGTAGTGGGAGAGGGAGAAGCAGGCTTCCCGCCGAGCAGGGAGCCCGATGCGGGGCTCAATCCCAGGACCCTGGGATCATGACCTGAGCCAAAGGCAGATGCTTAACGACTGAGCCACCCAGGCGCCCCAGAAAGATAATATTTTTAAATATAATAGAATTTTGTATTGGTAGGTGTCACTCAAGTGTGAGCTGAGATGTGAACAGGAAATACATATTTTGTCTTGTTATGTCACTGAGATTTAGGAGTGTTTGTTAGAGCATCTAGCCCCACATTTTAATATACTTGGTATGAATGTGGCAAAAATTTTGAGTTTCTTTTAAGCATGTACAATCTTTACCATCAATATTAATTTCCCTACATGAATGTAGTATTTTTTTTCCAACAGTAGGTTTTCAAATTATAAAACAATATTTAGAAATAAAAATGTTCAAATAATGAAGGAAATTTAGAACCTCAATACATGAAGGTCCATAGCAAGGCATGATTACCCAGGAGTAAGTTTGTGAACTACACCCAACACAATTCATGAATTAGTGGTGGGTCACAGTGCTGTGTGTGTGTGTGTGTGTGTGTAATTTGTATTATATAGACATACACACAAACAACGAAAGCAAAATTTTATTACACGACTTTGGAAATCTATATTTGAGTTACAATAAATGTATAAGAGGAGATACAAAGACTGACTTACTCGCTGAATACTTATAGTATTTAAAGCGCCAGTAAAATATATAGTAGGTACTAAAGAATTGTTAAATTCTTGAGAAACTAAAAACCCTCATTTATTTTATCTTTTATTTTATTGTTATTTTATTTATTTTTTAACAGAAAGAGAGGGAGAGAGGGAACACAAGCAGGGAGAGTGGGAGAGGGAGAGGCAGGCTTCCCGCCGAAAAGGGAGCCTGATGTGGGGCTAGATCCCAGGACCCTGGGATCATGACCTGAGCCGAAGGCAGACGCCTAACGACTGAGCCACACAGGTGCCCCAAAACCCTCATTTATTTTAAACATTTACATCATTAACTATTTTGCCTGTTCTTCTAGACGATCTGCATGCAACAAAGGCCTTTTTGGAGGAAGATAAATCACTGCGAAACTTTCCTCATAATTATGCACTTCTATTTTTTTCTTTGGAGCAGACACACACTAGATAGGAAGGGCGTTTTCAGAAGCAGGTGTGGTAGCTGTCATGACTAGGCTCATCACTTTTATCATGGGAATTGTAGCAATACACTGCCAACATCATGATTCTGCCTTTTTGTCCCTTGGAGACAAGATAGCCTACAAATTGTTGTAAGTGGAAGAGAAAAAATAAAATGCCCACGCTTTTGGAGAGTAGTCAAATCTACCCATAGGTACGAATGGTCAATGCATGGATCATGATAAAACAATCTTGATGGTGATCTGTGAAATAGAGAATCACGATCACCTGGAATTACATACCAATCATTCTCATTATCTTATCCAATATATTTTTATTCAGTTAAAAATAAAATTTATGGGGCACCTGGGTGGCTCAGTCGTTGAGCGTCTGCCTTCGGCTCAGGTCATGATCCCAGGGTTCTGGGATAGAGCCCCTCATCGGGCTCCCTACTCAGTGGGAAGCCTGCTTCTCCCTCTCCAGCTCCCCCTGCTTGTGCTCCCTCTCTCACTGTGTCTCTCTCTGCCAAATAAATAAATAAAATCTTTTAAAAAATACAAAAATAAAATAAAATTTATATTACTATGTGGATAACAAGGGCAATTAAAGTACCAAAAGATGAAATGAAAATAAAAGAATCACGTATAATATAATTGTTCAGAAAAAAAAGTTTTTTGTTTTTTAAAAAGACATTTTTTCTGCATAAGAATTCATTTCTGTACATCTAAAATTACTGTATTAAGCTAAGTTTTTAAGTTAAATGCTTTGTTATAGAACTTTAAAGCAGAATAGAACAATTTCATCTCATTATCACTAGTCAGCAAAGTAACATCTGTTTTGTTGTTCAGTTTAGCTTCTGAGATTCAACTCTGAAGTCTCTTTATAAAACAAAATTATTCCATAGCTGTACTGTGCATTTATGCATACAGAAAGTCTCTAAACTTGTAGTTTTTGAACCCTGATATTTAATTTGATCTTTTTCTAAATAAATGTTATATAACGCATAAAATGATCTGCACAAATTCCATCTTTAAAATCTGAAATCCCGGACTTCTCTGTGTAAATGTATATACAACACAGTTACCTCAGCAACAAAAGCTAATTCTTATTTTCTTCCCTGTTTTCTGAGTCTTTCTAATAACATTGCACTTTTAGATCACTTGCAATTTGTTATGCAAACACTTTGCTTATTTTTCACCTGCATTACTTAGTACAACTATTGTAAAGAAAATGAGTTTTAGGAAGCCTAAAAGCTAATCTGAAACTCCACTTTCGAAAGTGCAGCAAATGTGGCCGTTTATAACTTAAATGCTATAAGAAGGATTTGGCCCCTGAGTACTCTAAGCAGAGAAATAAAGGAGATTATTCAGATTATTGGAAAAGGATTAGCGGTAAAATTAGGCAAAAGTGTGTGCTTCTGTACCTACTTGATTAGTCTGCACTTCTGACTGCCTGCATCACAAAGATAACCCCATCTCTGTGCTCCATGAAGCCATTTAAAAATTCAGTCTTTTCTTATTTTAATGATTAATGAAGTAAATAAGTGTATGATGGCTTTATGGATTTTCCTCACCAGGACAATAAAATCAGTTTCAAAAGAATTCATTATATGTAACACTGTTTTAGCTTCCTCACTATTGTTTGTATAAACAATTATCACTATACTTATTTCTGAAATAAAATAAAATATCAATGCCATTTAATTCATTTGCCAATAATTCCTAAATAACTGCTACCAAAAGCAAAGCTTTTTTTTTTTTTCTAAATTAGTTACATCACACTAAACTGAATAAAAGGGGTAAAACTGTGTTACAGGATATATGGAATAAGGGCAAAACATAAGTATCCTGTTGTCTTTTTTTTTTTTTAAGATTTTATTTGTGAGCGAGAGAATGAGAGACAGAGAGCATGAGAGGGAGGAGGGTCAGAAGGAGAAGCAGACTCCCCGCCAGCAGGGAGCCTGATGTGGGGCTCGATCCCGGGACTCCAGGATCATGACCTGAGCCGAAGGCAGTCGTCCAACCAACTGAGCCACCCAGGCGCCCCAAGTATCCTGCTGTCTTGATGATAAATTCAGGTCACCTCAAACTTATTTTAGCTAGGGTAATTTCTATAAATCATGAAGGATGTTGAGATGCATAAGTCAATTTTGCCAGAAGCACAGATTGCTCCATACCAAGAAGTCCTAGCAGGGAAGTTATATCAAGAAATTTATCACAAGTATTTTGAGTTAGAAGAATTGAAATTAACCCACTATGTTCATATGTGTATATGGGGATATACTGTGTATGTGTGTGTGTGTGTGTATCTTATAGATGTATATGTTGTTTTTTTTTTTTTTAATTTGGGGATAGGCATTTATTGTGAATAAAAAAAATTTCCTTCAACAACAGATACTGCACGTGGGGGGCCAGGACTCATGCCTGAGGACTCATCTTTCAAGTCTCAAATATATGCAGCTATTTGGGCCCTGGTAAGAACGGTTTATAGCCCCCTAGACACACTCCACAGCTTTCCACCACCAGCGGATAAGAGCGCCCAAAGTACAGTCTGCCTGGGATGTGCATATTTCTTCTGGCTTCTAGAGCTAAAGGCAGAGTTCTTCCTTCTGCCTGACCGAGGGTGTCGCGTGTCCCCTCAGCCCGCTGAGTAGCAGGCGTGTCTGCTGCTCCAGGGTCACCACACCTGGCAGGACTGGATCACCTCCTTCAAGGCCTTCAGCCCCTCCACGCTCCTGTCCTTCACGGCCATGGCCAGGAGGACCGCTCTGTTTCCAGCTTCCTGAGACACACACGTCACCAGGTTCTTTGCTAAGACATGGATGAGAGGCTCGTCCTGCCCAAGAAGGACTTTCGTGGTGAGCACGGGCTTGCTGATGTCACTGGCCACGGGGCTGGGCTCCAGGGAGACCAGGGTACCCATCTTCCCGAACTGGGTCACCACCACCAGGATGTATATGTGTGTGTATATATATATATATAACAAAAATTTAACACATGCAAGAACTAGTTGGGTATCTGCATGTGACAAACAGTACAGTTTGATACAGCATGTGCCTGTGCCAATAAATCAAACTCTAATATAGATCATTAGAATTTCATTTGCTTGTAGTTGGATGTTGCTATCACTCAGCATTATTATTAGTCACTGAGAAATATGGATTCCATTTGAAATTATTTCTTCATGTACTTATATTTATCTCTTTCAGGATTAAACATTTAATTTTCTACAATGTCATACACATGACTTCTCTCATTTTATCCAGTCTGGTGAATTTGGAAAATCATTCATGAATTGCTCTCTGTTCATCTCTTGGACTTTTCTGAAATTTATTAATAGTTAATATTTATAAAGTATTTACAAGTGCCGAGAATCTTCCAAGTATTTTGCATATTGTGGCATCAAAGAGTTGGTTGGGTTGCACATAACAGATAATCCAAGTAGAGTAACTTAAGCAAAGAGAGGTATAATTTTCCTCAATAAAATAAAGTAAAATAAAATAGTCCAGAGGTAGGCATTCCAAGGCTAGTGCACAGGGTTCCATGTTGTCATTAATGTTCCAGATAATTTCCATTTTTTTTTTGATCCATCATTCTTAAAGCCTGACCTCTGATTTTATGGTCCAAAGATGCTCAGTCCCCCATGTATCACAAAAGTATGCTGAATTTGAGAATAGGGATAGGAAACCAATGACAAGTGCATGTCAGCTGAGTCTGTCCTCCTTTTAGAGCATTGTAGTAGTATTCCCACACAATGACTTCTGCTTCAAACCATGTTGTTAAAAAGAACTGGGACAAATGATCACCCATGTCTGTGAAGGAGGCTGGAAGATGGATTTTTTTATCTGGCCACAACAGAATTAGGAATCTCTTAAAATAGAAAAAAAAAATGGAATTATGAATCTACAGTGAGTAGATCAACTCTATACAGTAGGCACTAATCACAACTGATCTTTTTAAATGTCAGGAAAAACTCAAGTTATACAACCTAGTTATACAGCTAATAAGAGCCAGAACCAAGATCCCAATCGATGTGATCTAATTCCAAGAGCCAAAGCAATAACCAAGTTCTGGGAATTCTTTCCTGATTAAATCCTTGCAGAGAGATCACACATTAGTTGCTATTAAATCTTTCTAAACAAAAATACAGTGCTGCTACTTTGTATTCCCAAACAAAACTCCTTCTGTCCAATAGATCTCATTCCAACTAATTCTATTTTTGGAATATTTTTAAAAAGTTCCTACTTTTTCAATAACCTTCAATAACAGCCATCTCATATTGCATTCTTTAATGTATATTTCCCGTATTAACTCTCTTTATCCTTGGCTAGACATTCTTTTGTAACTTATTCTCATTGTTTTTGTAGTGATTATGGAAAAGATTTTGTTCACCTGCTATTTGTTATTTACTTAGATATTAGTGTAAGCAATGTATGCATGACAGGGTTATGTTAGCTCACATAACTTAAAGATAATAACATTTTATATTATATAGCCACTCCTATCAATTTGTTCATAATTGCTTTTTTAAAAAGGAAGATATTATTTTTAGAAAAAAATGTTAAAAGAAACTGTTACAAATATTTATTGAATAAAGAATGCATGTCACTGTTCCAAAAACAATTGTATTTTAAATTAAATTAAGTAGTATAAAACTGAATCTATTTTTGTCTTTGAGGAGTTTATCATCAGTCTTTTATAAAATTCATAGAGATATGTAGCTTCTCTTTTCCAAGATTAACACTGAATTATTATTTTTTTAATTCTAGAATGGGATTTTTGGGACAGTGAAAATACTTTGTATGATACTGAAATGGTGGATACATGTAATTATACGTTTGTCCAATGCCAAAGAATATACAACACCAAGAGTGAACACTAAGGTAAACTATAGACTTTGTGTGATTATGATATGTCAATGTAAGTTCATCCTAGGTAAAAAATGTACCATTTAGCTTGGTCATGTAGCTAAAGGGGGAGATTATGCATGGGTGGGGCCAGAGGGTATATGTAGCTTCCTCTCAAATTTATTATAATCCTAAAACTGCTATAAAAAGCCTTTAAGAAAAAAAGTAGAGAATCTTGTTAAAAGAATATATGGAGAATTAGAAGAATAAAATGTCATTGCATTAAACAAAAACAAATACAAATAGTGTATGTGAATAATCAGTAAGCTTCCATAAAGGTGAGTGAGCATAACTTAAAAAATCTAAAATGGATATTTCTCCTTAAAATGGACAGTGAATTAATTCCAGGAAAAAGAAAACCTGATAAATTAAAATATGCTTCATAATCCATACTTCATGTACCACATCTTTGATTAACTCCAAATCTTTCAAATTAACCTGCCTGCAACTTATAGAGCTAATCAAAGTCATATAGTATAGAATCCCACATTTACTCTTTCTCTACTTAAAGTTCTATTTTTTTAAGTCAGGTTTATTGATGCATCTTACAGATAGTGAGATCTTCCCCTATGTTTACTGTCATGCAACGCCACAATAGTCAGCAGGTTAAGTCCCATACGAAGTTCCCACAAACTCCATTTATTCAATTTCCTCCCCTCATCAAAGTTCTTTGGCAACCACTGATCTGATTTCTGCCCTTCATATCTTTGCCTTTTTCCAGAGTGAATAAATAAAAATAAAATCATGCACTATACAGCTCACATGCATAGTTTTCTTCACTTAATAAAATGTTTATCCATGTTTTTGAGTGTATTAGTAGTTCTAGTCCTCATTACTGAGTAGTAGACAGTACTATGGGTGTCCTACAATGTTTCTCCATTCACAACTGATGAATATTTGGATAATTTCTAGTTTGGGGTTATTAGGAATCAAGACTATGTATGTATTCTTGTATAGGTCCTTACATGGACATAAGTTTTTATTTCTCTTGGGTAAATACTAGGAGTATGTGAAACAGAAAAAATAAGTTTGCCAATCCCTCTCTTAAGGGACAAAAGGGGCCCCTTAAAAAAATTATTTGAGAGAGAGAGAGAGAGAGAGAGAGAATGAGCAGGGGGAGGGGCAGAGGGAGAGGAAGTTCAGAGCAGACTCCCTGCTGAGCTCAGAGCCTAAGGCAGGGCAGGATCCCAGGACACTGAGATCATGACCAAAGCTGAAATCAAGAGTTGGATGCTCGACTGACTGAGCCACCCAGTCGCTCCCCAAAGGGGCCATTTTTAAGAGACTTTGGCCCATGGACTAGATCTAGCCTGCTGTTAGTTTTTGTAAATAAAATTTTATTGGGGCAGAGCTATGCTACAGTAGGCTAAATAACAGCTCCCCACCTTCTAGCCTCCCCTGCCAAAATGTCCACATCCTACTCTCTAGAGCCTATGAATAATTTTCCTTGCATAGTCAAAGGGATTTTTCAGTTGAGATTAAGGATTTTAAGATTGAGAGATTATCCCAAACCCAATGTAATCGCAAGAGTAGAAGAGTGAGGCAGGAGAATTAGATCATATAGCAAGAAATGTTTCCATGAAAACAAAAGGGCAGAGTGATATGAGGAAGAGAACCTGAGCCCAGCAGGTAGATTCTAGAAGCTAAAAATGGAAGAAAGCAGATTCTCCTTTGAAGACCAGAATAGGAATGCAACTCTGCTGACACTTTGATTCTTGACTTCAGATATCCAGAAATATAAACACATAAAGTTGTGTTACTTTAAGCTATTACGTTTGTGTTAATTTATTACAGCAGCAATAGGAAACTAATATACCCACTCATTTATATATTTCTATGGCTGCTTGTTCATTACAGAGGCAAAGTTGAGTCTTTGTTCCAGAAACCATAAATCCTGCAAAGTATGAAATATGTACTTTCTACTCCTTTATAGAAAAAAATTCTGCAGATCCTTATCTTAAAATGAGGACTCTCTCTCCATTCCAATTTCATAAAACATTTTTTCCAAATATTTATTATCATACCCCTTGTATTTATCAGTTTACATAGCTATTTGTGCATATGTATGTGTGTTGAACTCTATGAAGAATTCCTTAAATGTGGCAAGACTTGCTTGCATGTTTTCTTCTTCACATTAGTAGTTTACTTTCTTGCATGTATTGGTATTCTAGAAGTATTTATGGAGTGATAGAAGTTAGAAAAATATTTGGAATAAAATCCTTTGGCTATTGTGTAGCTCTGCTTTACTCCTTATAAGTTTTTATGAGTTCATTACCTAGATATTAATTAGACCAACATTGATATATATTTAAATTTCCTTGTGTCAACATGACAAACACCAAAGATAACATAACATAATCTCATCTTGAAATTTTTATTTAATAGTCTATATCTCTTCACACTTACTAAAAAGCCAACTAGAAACGGTGATATTTGAGGAAAGAACTTAAAGAAATGAGGGAATGAATATATAGACATCTAGGTGAAGAAATCCCTGGCTGAGGAAAACAGTCTTTCAGTCAAGAGTCTCCATGAAAGGTGCGATTAAAGTAGAGTGAGTAAGTATTGATACACATTCAACAGAAATCTTCTAATTTTTATCCCTATTATTTCTATATAAACATTATTCTATATAAATGTTATTTATATAGAATATATATTATTCTATATTCTATATAAATACTATTCTATATTATTTTATATAATTTTTGTCTATATAATTATATAATTTCCAGTAATAGAAAAGCCAGTTATAGGGGTGCCTAGGTGTCTCAGTCAGTTGAGCGCCCGGCTCTGGGTTTCGGCTCAGGTCATGATCTCAGGGTCCTGGCATGGAGCCCCAAGTCGGGCTCCACACTCAGTGAGGAGCCTGCTTAAAGATTCTCATTCCTTTTCCCTCTGTCCCTGCCCCCACTCTCTCACTCACACTCTCTCTCTTTCCGTAAAATAAATAAATAAATCTTTAAAAAAATCAGTTACATATGGATTTTAGAATCAAAACTAATTTTATTTTCAAAAATATGAAGTTATTAGTATTTATAAGAGTATTCTACTAGAATCTCTTACTGATTTGTTTTTCAGATTATATTGCATGAGCTAAGCAGCTTCCTT